GGGGGTACCAGAGAAAGTCTGATCAAAAACAAAATTGATTTTCTGTAATAGACGACCTGGAGCATGTCGGGCGAGCCCAGTAAATTATCGGAACTGTTAGCGCTGACACGATTTCCGTCAAGCCATAGCTGGAACTGAGGTCATTTCAATGTATTTTCTTCTTCATTTACTGCCCCCCCCTCTAACAGTCCTCCCCAAGCCTCTTCACCCTCTCCCAAACTTTATGTTATTTATTCACTTGCTCCTTTTTTATCCTCACACGAAAGAATATTCGCAGAGTTGCTAATTACATTAAACTTTAACCGCAAACTTTGCGAGAGAATTGATGTGGTTGGTGGATGATCTGGTGTGGTTAGTTCCATATATCTTACCTATCAACATGTATCGTCTTTATCTCTCCTCCTCCTTTTCCTCTCCTGTAACACTTAAAAACTTTGACACTTACATAACCTAATTATCTTGCAATTACTGTAAATCCTACTTAAACTAAAACTGCAGAAACCAGAAGAAAGGTGTTTTGGGAAAGGATTCGGAAAGGGGGGGGGGGTACGAGAAACGGACGGTATGAGTTGTCTTGGAGGTCCTTCAAAGCTAGAGCATTATTGTCTGGTGAGCATCCCGCTAGTATTCTTGAAGCAATGCTTTGGAAAAGGAAAAAAATGATTTTACGAAGACAAAACATGGATGAAAAGGAAAGAATGCATGTTTCTATGCCAATTTCATCTCAGATTTCCGGAAAAGAGAAACCGGTGTGAAGACATAAAAGACAGCACAAACATTCTCTCTGCGTGGTGAGAGAGGAGCCCGCAGAAAAACGCTTTCCCTACAAATTCCAAACGTAATGCCATGATTTAAAAACTTGCCGACATAATGACAGTTTCGGATGAGAAAATTTACCTGCGAAATACAATACTTTCTGGTGGTTTTTAAATATTTTTTATTACTTTCTTCTTTGCCTTATGTAGAGTTTTTATTTTTCTTTCTTAGGTCCTTTACACTATCTTTTGTAAATAATATTAGGCTGATCCCGTCCCCTATTTACTCGCCTGAAAATGTTCAAGTGAAAACCCTCTAC